GTCTCCTCCATCTCCTTGTCAGATTTCTGACCAAGAATCCTCACCCTCTCAGTCTAGTTTAAATCTAGAACCTTTCCGGAAACTCCGACGCTCTTCAGCGACAGCTCCAGCAGCTCTTCCATTTACACGACTCCGGTTTGGATCAAGCGTTCATCGATGCATTGCCCGTTTTTTCTTACAAGGAAGTTGTGGGCCCCAAGGAGCCCTTCGATTGCCCCGTTTGTTTGTGCGAGTTCACGGAAACCGATCAATTGAGATTGCTTCCCATGTGTAGCCATGCTTTTCATATCAACTGCATCGACACTTGGCTTCTATCGAATTCGACTTGCCCTCTTTGTAGGGCTACTCTTTTCAACCCTGGATTTTCGATCGAAAACCCTATTTTCGATTACGATGATTTTAGGGAGGAGGATGGAGGGTGCCCTAATTATGGAGACAGTTTGTTCTCGATTGCTCAGAAGAGAGTCGAGATTGAGGAGGTTGCTACTAAAAAGGGGGTTTTTCCGGTTAGGCTCGGAAAGTTCCGGAAGTTGGATGAAGCCGAAGAGGGTGAGGTTTTAGGGGAGACGAGTAGTAGTAAATTGGACGGTAGAAGGTGCTATTCGATGGGTTCTTATCAGTATATAGTTGGTGATGCTAAACTTAGAGTGGCGTTGAGCGAAGATCGAATTGGATGCGACAAAAAGATTGTCGAAGGAGCAATAAAGGAGCAATCTTGCAAGGAGTTGGGTGACGAGAGCACAGAGGGGAAGAGGATATGTATCGGTACGAAGACCGATAGCTATTCGGTTTCCAAGATTTGGCTATGGTCGAAGAAGGGGAAATACGCTAGTTCTTCCGACGGGCATTTGGATAATAATAATAATCCTTCTTCTCCGAACTTGGACTTAACGTGGATGCACAGAAGACAAGGCGTTTGAAAGGTGTTGTGCTTTTTTTTTATTATTTTTTTTTTAAATATATATTTTGATTCGTCGCCCCCCGTAAATTTACGATAGTGTTGGGTTTTCTTTTTGTTCTGAAATTTGAATGACCTGTTTTGAAAAGAAGTTGCCTTGCCTATGGTGTATCTAGATAATTGATGCATGAAGAGTGTTTCTTGACGGTTTTGTTTTTTCTTTCGGTTTTACGTGTTTAGATTTTTCTTCTCGGAAGTATCTTTTGTAACATAGTGAAGAAAATACGATATAGATTGATCCGACCGAATCAGCTTGCTTAGTAGTACATCCCATCACGGTGTCTCCAAATAACTCGAAAATGTTTCTTTAAAATCGGAACTAAGATCTTAACATACTTACTAGACATCGTAGTAATTCGAAAATACGGGGATCATATCTGAAGAACATTTGTGCTGTAGCCAGTTTTGCATCTTTCTTCTCATGGCATAGTTTGTGCATTGAATCAGTCAAAAGGGTTATAAGTTTTTAGGCAAATTACGGCCACCACTGAGGTATGGTAAATTACGAAAACACCCTTCTTGTTTGTGTAATTACATCCACACCATCAACTATAAATCTCCTTACACGTCCACCCTTATGGTGTCAAATTCAACAGAATCTTATAGATTCCGTAAAATATTCTCGATTTTTTTCGTAAAATTCGTCTTCTTTTATTTGTTAAATACATGGTTGGCTTAGACTTGGTCATTCATTTCATGAGCTGTAGTAGCAGGTAGCAAATTATATATACTTGTATTAATTTTTTCTTACTTTGAATATTTTGGGATAGTGTGAGCACAATCTTTTGTGTGTTGGGGTTGTGTCTTTTTCATTGGGACCGTTTGGTGGGATCCATTAATAAAGGGATATTAGATAAAAATAAATCTTGTGATGAGAGCTCTTCTTTTATTATTTTTAATTTAAAAGAGATAAGAAAAGAAAAAAGAAACTTTTGTTTTTCATTGAATTGAATATTTATTTAATTAATTTGGAAATTGATAATTTGATATAAATATGAATGGTGGGCCGGCAGCCATGTAAAAATTGACCACGGCCCCATTCATTTATTTGTCTTACACCTGAATGTGTCATAGATCATTAGATCTGCATCACAATGTACCTAAACCCCTAAACTTTAATAGAAAATAAATGTTATTTGATTATTTCTGAAAAATACGAGAATATGGGGAAATGTGTAAATATTGAAGGTCTAGGGTATTATTTATAAATATGTTTTTATTTATATTTTTTATATATTTTCATACAAATATATCCAAAATAAATTTACTATGTACTATCAATATTCAATATACAATTGATCGCTAAATCATGTAAATAATTAAGTAATCAATAAAAATATTTGAAAATTTGATATTCAAACATATATCTAACTTTTTAGAATTTGCAAGATAGCAGGGTCGAACACGAAACGTGTTCAAAATGTTGAAACGATAAGAAGTTGAAGTACTGGAATATTAGAACTAAATCATAATAACAAATTGCCAATGCTGATAAGTTGAGCAAGTTGTCATGTGAAGAATCAGATTAGTGCAAAATTAGTAACATATGCCCAATAAAAAAAGAATAAAATTATATTTTCATTGTTGCCTTGA